TTTCCTATATGACGTCTTTGATTTGATCATTGCTTGTATTTTAGGTTAGAGCTTTGAGCTGCAGAGTGGTCCTGTTCCAGTCAGAGTTACCAAATCTGTTACTGGGACATCCTTTTACCAATTGTAAGTTTTAGGCGGACATAGAAGTCAATATGGACCCTAGGATTCCAGAATTGTGCAGAGGATTTACAATTCAGACAGACAAACTAGCTTTCTCTTGGAACCTCTTTGGTCTTTATTGTTGTTATAGCTAGCCTGGGATGATATCATATGCATTTCTCATTACATTCGGTAAATTTCCATAACAACTAAAAAGCATTTATAATATGACTGTTGTATCAAGAATTGTTTATCAAATCTTGTCTTTCTCTATATTTTTGTTGATAATTTGTGGAAAAGAGATCAAAATGGGAAGAATAAAAGAGTGTTGATATTCTTCTTACAATGTGTTTGTAGTTTATTGCCTTTTGGGTACAGAAAACTTTTCCTTCTCCACTCGTATCTTCTTTTCAGACAGAAGTGTCCCTGATGGCAACTGGCATGCATTATATTTGTGGACTTTTTCATCATGTAGATACAAGAAAATGTGAACGCTCTGTAGAAAATTGAATGAATAATCATTATAAATTGTAGTATTGAACTCAAAAGTTCATCTGTAAAAACTCTTAATAGCACATTCTTACAGCATTTTGATGCAACATCTAAAAATGTCGTATATAGATTCTAAAGCGGAATAGTATTTTGTATTTTGCCTTGTACAGATAATAAACACCACTATCTCTATGATTGCTGGGACCAAATTTCAGTCTCATAGGAGCTCTACAAATCGTGAGGCTCATTTTCTGCAATCCAAGATGGACTATTAAAGATTTTTCTAAAATTAAAAATTGGTGACTAGATATTTTAATAAAAAAAATATGGAGAAAAAAAAAAAAAAAAAGACCCTACCCCCACCCCGACGTAGATGTTTAGTCAGCCATATCCGAAATCAAAAGAGAATAAAATAAGGTAGGTGAATCCTTACCTTAAGTTCTCATACTTACTTTTAAGTTTTAATTAAATGTTTAAATTTTTATTAAAGTAACTAAATTTTTAAATGTGACATTTTAAGTAATTTAACTCTTTTTTTTATAGTAAATTTAATATTTGTTTGTATTTTATTTACATAAATAAAATATTAATATGTCATTAGTTACATGATAAATGTTAATTTTATCTATATAAATAAAGTATAAATATATATTAAATTTATCATAAAAAAGTTAATTTACTTAAATTATTAAATTTAAAAGTTTACTTATTTTAATAAAAATTTTGAGGTAAATTTGAGAATTTAATGGAAGATTTTGTCAATAAAATAATGAGAAGGGCATAATAATAAAAAAGAATAGAATACCTGGGGGAGGACGTTGCAGTTGCATAATTTGTTAAATTAGATTAGAAAGTACGATACACGGCATCACGTGATTTTCCCACCAATGAGTTGTAGGACCACTGAGGCTGCTTGTGTTGGAACGTGCATTTTTCATATTTTATTTGTGATTTTTTCGCGTCTAGATGTTAATTCCAAACAACTATTTTTTTTTAATAAGATTGTTTTTATAATTTTTTGAGGAAAAAGACTTCTCAATCCGGATTGAACAAACAATTGTTAGTTTAGACTTGTATTAAAAAAGAAAGGAAAACTTATTTTATAATTTACATTATAAAATATAAATTTTTTATTGAAAGTTGAGTTTTTTTATATTAAAAGTTAATTTTTTATTAAGAATTTTTTATTTATAATATGAAACAATTTAAATTAAACGATAGTGAACTAAAAAATCAATGTTAGTTTAGATAAAATTTTTAATTCTATTTGAATGGGTAGTTAAGAAAAATTAATAAAATAATTAATATTTATTATTTATTAATTTAATATTATATTATATTATATTTTAAAACATTTTAATTAGTTATTTTAAAGAAATAAAAGTTATAAATAATAAATTAATTAAACCAATCACTTATAATCTTTAAATTTTTATTCTTATTAAATCTATAATAAAAATAATTAATCACTAAGTTAATTTAAGAACTAAAATTTTGTAACAACTGACGAATCTTTTTCTCATTTTTTTAATCGATAGGGGTAAACGAATATTTTTCTCACTTTTCAATCAACAATCTGCCTTTTTGTGCCCTTTTTATTTTCATAAAGAGATCTGCTACATCCTACACGGTTGACGTCAAGCTGTGATCTAAAAAGGTGAATTAGAAAAGCTAATGATTTTTTTTTTCATAGGCTCATTTTGATTTAGTCATTAACTTAGAATTAAAGTTACTCAGGAACTTCATATTAAAAATTAAATTAAGGTGAATTGCTCGCTC